AATATATGCAGTGTATTATTTGTTGAAACTGTACTTCCGATTTGATTTGAAACTGTCTCATTGCTGTTTATCAATAAAACTTTGAAAAAAAAAAAAAAAAAAAAACACAACAGTGAATGGGCCAGGGATATAGCTCAATGAGAGAAGCACCTGCCTGGCAAGCACAAGGTCCCAAGTTCAAGTCCCTGTATTGCAAAAACAAAACAAAACAAAAAAAGCAGTGAAGGCTAGGGGCATATCTCTGCAGTCTAAGTGGCTGTCTGTCAAGTACAAGGTTCTGAGTTGAATCCCTGCTATGAAAAGAAAAGAAAAGAAAAGAAAAGAAAAGAAAAGAAAAGAAAAGAAAAGAAAAGAGAACAAACTAACATAATCCCAGCACTCAAGGCTGAAGCAGGATTGCTGCTGAGTTTAAGGCCAGCCTGGTCTACAAAGTGAGCCTAAAGCCAGCCTGAACTGCAGAGTGAGACCCTGTATCAAAAAGGGGAAAAAAAAACCCAGCTAAATGTTGTGGTGTACACATGTAATTCCAACACTTAAGGTAGACTAAGATAAGAGGATTGCAACAGTGAGACACCATCTTCACAGAATAAAAAAAAAAAGCTAGGACATAGCTCAGTGGTACTGTCCTTGAGTGAAATCCCCAGCACTACAAAAAGAAAGTAAAGGCTTGGAATGCAGTTCAATAGCAGATAGAACACTTGCTTGCCTAGTATACATAAGACCTGGATTCAATCTCCATTACCAAAATCAATCAAAACAGCTTCTTTCTTAATTATAACCTAACATTCTAGTTAGCTCTTTCTTACCTATTTTAAACACAACTCTGTTCGATACCCAGTCATCCTCATCTCCTTCTTCAGAGGCAGGATTCGGGATGGAAGTTCGCGATATGAAAATATTACCTGTTGAACAGTTAAATTATGTAAGCCTAAATAGCAATTGTACTATCCATAGTTTACAAACTAAGTTAAATATCAAAACCATTCAGAAAGTCCTCCAAAGGGCCAGCCAGATAGATAGCTCAGCAGACTAACACGCCTGTTTAGGCAGATGCAGGGACCAGGGTTTGAGCCCATGCATGCTGAGCCGGCCCCACCCTTGGGGCCCACTGAAATGGCAAATGAGATTGGGCATGGTGGCACTCTCTTGTAATCCCAGTGCTTGGAAGGCTAAAAACAGGATGACCAGGAGTCCAGTCTGTATAGTGGGACCCTGTACTAAATACATAAAAACAAAAATAAATCTCAGCAAAGGTGGCCTTGGCTATATATATATAT